GAAGCTGGAGGGTAGCGATACCCGGGCACCGGCTCCATTCTCCCCCCATGCTATCTTTAAGGGGCAAAGCTTGCGCAGATAAGGTCCCACAACGAAACACAACTCACTGGTAGAGAACGAATAGAAGTGAGATGGATCCAGCAAATAGGGAGTTTCGGCCTCCTTCCATGCAGTTTTAGCAGAGAAAGTGGCAGGCTACTGCAGCTGCGGACCCATTCACCTCGCACGTGACAAGGATCAGGACCCACGAAGATGAGCGTAGAGTTTGCCTTCAAATGTCCCTTCCACTTTCTCCCAGCTCGGTTCCTTTGTAAAGGATACGCCTAGAAGAAAGGAATCTTTCAGCTGAAGTTTTTACTGGCTGGAAAGCCATTCCTCAAGACATTTACACCACTGAAGGGCACAGTGAGAGTCGGTGGTCCACTCGTACGGTTTAGGAGTCCAGTAGCGGATTGGCTCCTACCTAGACCACCAAGTCTTCGTTGCAAGGCTTGTACGAGAGACACTGATCCGTCAAACAATGATTTCTCTATTGCTCTGCATCCATAGGTTAGTGATTAGCCAAACCAAGTCCAAAGCCTAGCACTCTGAATGGAAGGAGAATGCGCGGCGTATTCCCAGAAGTTGATCAGATCAACCTGGGGCGGAAGCTCCATCGTTACACTTTTATCCTCTATCAATCCTTTTCTTCAGCACAAATCTTTCTAAGCCATTGAAGTAGGAACAATCAGCAAGCGACCGAAAACACTCATTTTAACTTAACCATGAATTTTGGTGGCGCAGTTCCACTACGGTATACCTACCCAACGCAGCGAAGCGCGTTTGACCATAACCGGAAATCTCCCAAGTCCCACAAATTTCCATAAGTCCAGAAATCCATCGTTTTCGCTGATCAACAAAACCGGGCCCTTTAGGCGACTTCAGCCAACGGGCGGCGGTAGCGGCGTTGAATGTAAAGTGGAGTCTCTCGAGGTGCGAAGTGGCTCTTCGGACTCCACCTTCGTCGAAGAGACTTCTGGCTTCTGACCGTCATGATGCATTCGTAACATATCACGGCCAGCTTGTTGCAAAGCACCACTCGTCGACGCTTTTCCATAGCCTCTCACGGCATATTAAAAACTTTCCCTGTGTAAGCTTAAGGGTTGATGTTTCGACATTTAAAGTGGTTCACCTTCTACAGAGTTCGTCTACCCTGTTCACATTCGAACGTGTTGCTCTCCCAGGAATCTTACCTTTTCCTCTCGATTAAGACTGCACTAGAAACCGAATCTGTCAAAGATATTGTTTGCGGGGGTTTTCCTTGTCCAGCGTCGGGAGCGCGAAAAATCCAGACCACTCGACCCAATAAACCTTCCATCACGGAAATCATTTGTGCATCTTTTCTAGCTTAGCGATCATCCCGGTTAAACACCAAAGTCACTTTGAGCTTTCTCTCAA